AAATTAACTCTGCAAGACATCAACACGACATCAGTATGGCGTAACAACCAGAGATCAGGCTCTGATGAAAAAATGTCCGCGCACTCTGATTTTAGCCCTGACCTAGAACTCCTAACACCCACAGAATCACGCCAACCTTGCATTGCAGTATTCTGCTTGAAGAATTTAATTTGTCTACTTTTCATTTTTGCTGATCAGGTCTTTATAGATCCTACGTTCTTTGGCATATTCGTTTGCGGTCCTTTGCAGTCCCTTGTCGTTAATGTTGTACTTTATGAATTTTTGGGCCGTAGATCTTTTAGAGATCCGATATGCTGTTATTTTTGCATGGTTTTGTCCATGTTTTTTAGGTTGGTTTTGGCCAATTCTTTATTTTCTCTGCGAGACATCAACTTGACACTTGGACTCTTGCCCCCCAGAAGACACGTGGTATGGCGTGATTCTGTGGGTGTTAGGAGTTCTAGGTAAGGGCTAAAATCAGAGTGCGCGGATATTTTTTCATCAGAGCCTGATCTATGGTTGTTACGCCAAACTGGCAAACCCCAAAGAGGGCGAAACAGCTGTCTATGGCTACAATCGCGCTCTGTTTTGGGTTCTTTCGGTGTCGTGTTGATGTCTTGCAGAGTTAATTTTCACGTAGTACGATCAGCATTGCAGTATTCTCCTTGCAGAATTTAGTATGTCTACTAAAAAACTCTCAGTAAAATTACATGCACAAGTTCGTGTCGTCATATATAAAATCATGACCGCTGACCGGAAATCCTTACATACGGAAAAGCAACAAGAAATAACTCAGCTAAATATTCATTAAACTTTTCATATTATTATTATTTTAAAAGTGTTGTAAGACAAGAGCAAAGCGTTTTGAAATTCTCTTGAAGCATCTCCGATCCATTCTGAGTGTAATCAGGATCTCATCTTCTTCAACTCTAATGTGGGGAAGGTGAGCGTTTCTTCATCGTGTGCGTTGGAAGAAACATGTGTCAGTGGTCTGCCATTCAGGATAGCTTCAATTGAAATAACAATGGTGTGCAGGGTGTTAAAAGTTATAAATGATCGTCCAAGGACCTTCTTCAGAGTTATCTGAGGCGACCCCCGCCCGGTTAGCTCAATGGGACAAGCGCCGGTCTGCTGAGCGGGAGGCCGTTGGTTCAAACCCCGGCCGGACCAAGACTCAGGGTATTTAAATAACTGAGGAGAAATTGCTGCCTTTGTAATAACATCTACAAACGGTTAGACTTTCTAGTCTTCTCGGATAAGGACGATAAACTGTAGTCCCCGTCTCACAAGCCCTTGCACATGTAAAAAATCTGTTGGACTCTTCTCTTCGTCGTAAAGAGTAGGGCACGTAGTACCCGGTGTAGTGGTCTACCTCACTTTCGCACTTATGTATGGGGGCATCATTACTCATTCCTTCATTACTTGTAAACTGCACCTTAAGCAGTCTGGCACAGTCCTCCAACCAGTGTTGTAAATTATCCCTGAAAAGCCCTGAGGGGTGACACCTATTAACCTTTCCCAGAATCCTCCATGCTAAGGCGCTCTTTTGGGCATGAAGCGCCAATCTACACCCTGTTTGCTCAATGACGCTTTTAATATTTGGGATGGAAACGGTGCGGTGACCTCCTCAGCAGCTAACAGGTACGTAGAAGCATTATCACATATCGCTCGGCAGCAAATCCTCTATGCGCGAGAACGAAGGTTTGTACTGAAAAATCTGTAACTACTACAAGGTAGACTACTTTTGTTGTAGCACGTGTAAAGAAGTTGCCTGCGTGCAGACGTCTCCTATTTCCTTTGTTGCACTTGTACCGCGTGCAACAAAGGAAATAGGAGACGTCTGCACACAGGCAAGTAAAGAAGTAGATGTAATCTCTCTTTTCGGCTACAGCTTCGCGGATGTATAAAGCTCTTGTAAAGTCTACGTCAGAGACTGTAAATGGTTCTTCTTGTGTGTCTTTTCTTTGGAAGAAGAGATGGGTCAGGGTTTTGTACGACAATCCTATAATCGTCTTGCAAGTGACGCCGTGATTGATCGCTTTCTTGACATGCTGGAGTCCAGCTGGAATCCAATATCTCAGACGTACGAGATTCAGTGTGAAATTCGCACAAGCATATAATCGATTAACATGCGTGACACTGATGTCTGAGGAGCAAGAACTTGGTAGATGTGGAAACTAGCGCATTGAGAACCCTCTTGCCGAAACGGATAACACCAGTATCATCTAAGAACAGGAGTAGCTGTCGAACTAGTGGTTTTCTAGGCGTAGATTTGGAGAGCATGCTGGAGATCTCCTTGTGGGTGGTAACTCACTTGCTGACGATTCTTGATTCATTCTCTCTGGGCATGAGCCAGTTCTTGTGTTGTCAGAGCTCTTTTGTTCTTGTTCTGCTTTCTGGTATTGAGCACAAACCGCAGGACGTAGTGTTTGACGTAGGTGAGCCTGGAAATGGTGCTGATAGACCTGTTGGTTATCTATGGTCAATGGTTGGAGATAACATTGGAGCGGTAAACTTGGAAGGGGATGTTAGGGTCACTGAGGTAACTCAATCAGAAGAAGCGTGTACCATCCCTGTCTTGTTTAACAAGACTGATGTTTAAGAAAGCCTTCTCAGTATCAGTTGCAAAACCAAACGTACGGCGGGGGAATCGGGGTAGGATAGCAGTTAAGTCATTAAGAATAGGTGGCCCTCGTAACACACCGTCATTAAGGCTAGGGTGTTCTCGGGATTGTCAACGGCTGCAGTCTTACACGACGCGTATTGGGGTGGTTGCAGATTCCTTAAACAAGGTATGGTGTGGGAGATAGTGGCAGGTACCTACAGTGGTTTCGGGGTCTGTCACTCTTTCTGTTAAGACACGTTTCTCCTGCTCGATGATAATGTCAGAGTACAATTTCACATTCTGAGGGTCTCTTGCAAAATGCTGCTCCATCGAACGTGTTCTTCTTTCAGCGATGTTGAGTTGGTTGGTAAGGGCAGATGATCAGTCTTCGATGGCAGTTTGGTAGTGTATCCCCTTTTCTATCAAATTGATAGAAAACTCCCGATAGTCATGTAGGAAGTCAGTACCCACGCTTCCGATCTTGGCGGGAAATTCTAACGTTGTTCTGTCGCACTTCGTAATAATCGTCGCACTTTGTAATAAAATTGTCGCACTTTTTAATAACAGACCATCGCACTTTGTAGTAAAATAAGCTGTCACTCTTTATAATAACACTTATAGACAACCGGGTTGGGCCTTAAGAGCTCACTATTAATCGATATAAATAACAGAAAAGGTAATAAGGAAATTCTGCTTGGAAAATTTAACGAAGGGGCGAGAAGTGGATATAAAGCAGACCCTGTCCTGTCCAGTTAGCTAAGGGAAAAAAAAAGAAGTGAGACACGAAGGAGGCCACCTCGTATTCACGACTAAGGAATGGAGAAGTTCAAAACAGATCAGCAGTTTGTTTCCAAGACTTACAGCTGCTGTTCAGCACCAATGAGGTGTGTATGTATGTATGTATGTATGTATGTATGCATGCATGCATGCATGCATGCATGTATGTATGTATGTATGTATGTATGTGTATGTATGTATGTATGTATGTATGTATGTATGTATGTATGTATGTATGTATGTATGTATGTATGTATGTATGTATGTATGTATGTATGTATGTATGTATGTATGTATGTATGTATGTGTGTATGTATGTATGTATGTATGTATGTATGTGTGTATCTATGTATGTATGTATGTAACTCACTGCATTTGTTTTGTTACTTTAAAATGTCAGGAAACCGTGTTTTGATTTTGCCGATCGGCTCAAATTACACTTATCTTGTTATCACTGAAAGCCAGTGCCTTTAGAACTTTGTTTAATCTAGCTAATTCCCTTTCCGAATCAATATGGAGGGATTTTGGAGACTTTTCAGACGTAAATAAAACAAAAAGATACGCAAACTAGATTCTATGTTTAGCATTTAACGGTAAATCTCAGTTGCAGGAAACATCGCATGTGAAACTCGATCAAGGCAAAAGTAATGTTTACATTTAGCGGTAAATATTGCTTTTGAACACGTGCAAAAGCCGTAGCGTAATTCAATTTTTGAGCAAACCAACTTTTTAAATGAAACAGCAGACTAAGAGCAATCGAACAAACGTGTTTGCTTAAACTGAAAGATACGAAAAAATTGGCGGAAAATTGTACATCATTTTTGCCGATCTGGGTGGACTTCAGTGGTCAATCTTGCCAAAGGATTCGGAGCTCCCAGTCTAAATCTCACTGAACATTCAACAGTAACAAATGTACTGTACCAAAACCATTTTGATTTGAAATTTTATCCGCGCAGTTTAAAATTGTAGGATCCGCCCAAAGTCACGCGAGACGCAAATTTGCACGCTCGACAAAGGTATAATAATAATCCAAATCATTCATCACGTGAATACAAAAGCATCGCATCTTAATAGGCAACTTCCGAGTTCCAAAACCCTCTCTTTCAAAATGAGGACAAGGGCAAAACCTTATTCTTGTGAAAATGAGTTTTATTTGCACGAGAATGAAAAATCGTTTTTATATCAAAGGCCGAGCCCTTAACCTCGTTTTGATACAGAGGCCCGAGGAAATTCGGAAATGGCCTATTGATAAAGGTAGGTAAAATAACTTACATTCTTATGCAAATTGACCAAAACAATTTAGTCCAGACGGGCTTTAAAAGTGAAGTTACGGAAAAGTTGGTCTCACTATTTACGAAAACAAAGAAAGTCTAGCAATTGATAGTCAACCAAGCTTATCACGGAAGTTAGATGGAAGGCGAAGGAATTCTGAGATATAACGTGATGGAAACAGACGAAAAGATGATCCTGAACTTAAAATGATTGCTTTTAACTTATATGGACACAGGATTGTGGCTGAAAGAGACTGCTTAAAGACCTAAAAAAAGAAAGCTGAAAAAGGTGAAGCCAAACTACAGGTAATTAATCAAACGTTCCCCCTCCCCCACCTCCATCACCC